TCTGTTCAGAGGTAGCACCTCTAATCCTTCTTATAAAAGAATTTATCATTCTGGAAGAGAAAGTCTTATGAATAGCAGTGTCACTGAGTAGGGAACTTGCTTTAAGAGAAACTTAAGTCACTGCCTCTTCACATAAGCACGAGAAGATATCTAACACTTAAAAGTTTCTAAAGAAACCAAAATGAACTGAGAAACGGTCTGAATAGTAAGTAAGAGAGAGGCAACAAAATAATAAGGAAAGAGCACAGCTTAATATGATAATCGTGGAGACCGGCAATGAAATGAGCAAGAAAAGGTGAGGGAAAGAGAGAGAGAGTGGGAAATACAGTTGGCCGAGCACGATTTGTAGTACTCACCTAAGCTCGTTGGTGTTGATAATGGTGTTCACTACCATCACTGAATATCAATTTTTGCTCCATTTTAGTCTTGCCTCAACCCCCTGTAGTTGTACATGAATTTTAATTTCTATGTTCTTCGTGTCTGTGACCCACTGCGGCGCTGTCATTAAACAGTGCGGTCAAAGTATCACAAGCAAACCACAGGCCATGGCAATTGTTTCAACATTGAGGATGCTAAACACCTTTCACCACCAGCAAAATGGATTGTTAGTGTTCATCATGGTGCTGCCCACCATGTGTTTAGCAATTTATCAGACAAAATAACTGTTTGCTTCCAGAATAAAAAATAAACAATGTAGGCTGTAGGAGAGGAAGCTGAGAGTTGCCTCTGTTGTTGCTCTCTCAGTTTTGCTAATTTTGGTTGTATTGATGTTTTCATGTGATATTTATCCCATGATCCATCATGTGAACTTCAAGATGGCAGATATGGGGCAAACATAATGTTAAGATAGAAAGTGAGAAAGGACAAAATAGGTTTGGAGAGAGAAAGAACAAACATTAAGGAACTCAATCTTGCTCTATCAGGGGCCCAAAAGGGAGCAATTAGTCATGCCTTTGAATCCCCCCACAATCTACTCTCTGCTGAATCTGTGAGTCATTACTGTGCTCTGAAGTTGTAGCATGGTAAGTCCAATGTCGGCTCTGCTCTGCACTCTATTAATCAGCCTGGGAGCTGATCTATGAACTGCACTCTTCTCACAGAGGCCCTGGCGTACAGGTTGGTGAGGAGAATGAGGAAAGAATAAGTTAAGCCACAGGATGAGTCCAGTGAGCTGCAGGGAGAGACTAATGGGGCCCTGGAGACAAGTCTTACTAATAAGCCTGCTGCTACATCACACAGTTTAAAGGGGATTTTTGTCCAAAGTGTGTTTACATTTTAAATGTGTAGAGGACATGCTGGGCGATCATGTGGTGCAAAAATATTACTGACATGGAAATTAACCAAGTGCATGGATTAATGACCATGTGTTTGGTTTAGCGATCTGTACACAGGGATTAATAAACTGAGAGGAAAACATAATGTGGAAAAGCAGAGTAAAGATATTCATGGAAATGAAAAGACTTCCGATATGGACCTCTAACCTTCAAAATCAAATGTGTGGATGTACTAGATAGATTTAAGGTACTGCAGTTAATTATTTAAACATTTTCTATCCACTAAATGGAAACACAGATTAATAATCAGTCTCAGAAAAACACTGAGATGCCATATGTCATATACCATGTGCCCAGCATGCCGCAGATGTCAGACTATCAGCCACTTAGAGCAGTGTGAAAGACACAGTGTAAGTTCTGTTTGATTGGCAATGTAAAATTTATGTGAGGCTGAAGTATTGTAGTTATAACCTTGCTTTATCTGTCAGAGGAATTTTGCGGTGGCTAACAAACTGTGGTGTGATTTATTTTCAGTCTATCCATTCATCAGGATATTATAGTATTTTTTTTTTCAGTTTTTCTGACTGCAGTTGTCAGTCTGGGGTTTTCTGTGATTCATTGAGCTTGTCTTACAATTAGTGGAGTTATTAGTGTAAGTATTGAATCTACAATTTATTCATCTGTTTGTATGGTTTATCAATCAATGAATTTCTGAACTGAGAGCATGGTTTAGTGATCTCTGCACTTGGATTTCTATACCAGTGTTTTTTTCTGCTGCATGACCCCTGGTAGTTCTGTCGCTGTCTGTCTCGGTTAGTCATTGTCCTTGTGTGATGTTTTCCAGCTTTGCTTTTATTCACATTCAAACAAACATTCTTCCACACATTCGCACCTTGGAAATGTCAAAAAAAACAACCAGTCTTTTGGAGTGGCTCAGATGCTTTGCTCAAGGGCTGCTCAACAGTAAAAGCACGGTGCTATTTATTGACTTTCCCCACTCTCATTCTGTCAGAGGATTCAAGACTAAAAAAACCCTGGTTACAAACATTCACCTTTGTAATTCTAAATCCTGCACTGCTCCCATATTTCCTGAATAACCTGACATTTCCTTCCATCTTTGAGATTTCAGCTGCTAATCTTTAATTGTCTAGTTATTAAATGTGCGGTTATCTACAGTAGGATCAAAAAATATATCAAGATTTATTTCACTTTAGTATGCACAGACCTCCAAAGAAGCTGTGCTGTAACACTTTCTGCAGGGTATATATATAACACTTTAAACATACCGTAGAGAACATTTCTGTCTTTCTATTAATGGAAAGTGTAAGCAGATGCAATTGGCAGACGCAGCACACAGACTCAAACAACAGGAATTCCAGCGTAGATATGTGCATTTAAGAAGTACTTTAACAGATACAAGAAATCCAGTTCAGTATTCAGTATTTTAGGTACTGCTGTGAGTGAAATAATTAGTTATTTTACAACACTCAACTTCACAGATGACTTAGGAAACTCAACAAAACTATTATATTCAGTATGTGACAATCACAGCAGATCTGTTGTTAAAAATGTCTCAAAAGTAAAGCCAACTAGAGTTTCTCTAGTGAATGTTCTTTGGGATTGCTGGTGTGAGAACTAACCAACAGATAGGTTTATGTCCTTATCTAGAATTAAAATGTCACAGCCTCAGAGCAAAATGTCCTTTTCGAGGCCACAGCGATCCCCAGAGTCGACTTGTGGACAGAAGTGAAATAGAGGGAGGAAGAAGCAGATATCTGGTATCTACCTGCTCTCTTTCTTTGGCTCTTGGATGTTTATCACTGTTATTAGTTTAACAGGAAGGAGATGTAGAGGGACTGACAAGCGTAATTCTTCAATCCTACATCTGTGTGTTCACGCACGCGTGTGTCTGCATGCGTGTGTTTGCGCGCGCATGCGGTCCTGAGACTGCCCCCAGGCTAGTCACAAAGTCCCTATTCTCCTACAATAAATATTTTTTTTTTGCCATCATTTTGGTTCTTACCTTGCTTCACTTTTCACTTCTGTCACAATCTATACTCCTGATGGTATTTTTGGCTGAGTTGGCCTTTCTGTGTGCTGCAGCTGTCTACCTGCACACTGCATCTCTTCCCATCCCTCCCTGCGTTCCTCATTTCCTCTAATTATCTGTCTGAATGAAGACTTCCTTTCTGTCTCTCTGGAGGGCGGATGACTGATAGGTCTCTTAAGGTTTACCGTTGCATTAATTAAAGGTGAAACTTTTCTGAGTCACATTCTTTATGATATTTTTCCTGACAAACTGCTGTTTCTGTCACCTTATTGTTTGATAAAATGGATTTCATGCTAAGGTCTGTTTGGCACAGTAGTTACTGTAGCAGTATTCTAAGTTCAACAGGAACAAATATCCTGATTGTGCCACTGTAGTTGCGAGTATGGTGTTGTGCTCAAGTATGAACTTGGCATTATAAACCCCTACGAAATCAAACAGAGACTTTTACTTCCAAGTAAATATACAGTTGCCATTAGTGTGAGTTTACTGATGAGGATGTGTTGGTAATATTCCATGTAAACATCAGGAGGTAACAACCTGCACTGAAAGACACAAAAATACCCGCACATTGTTATCACATTCCCAAATCATCTTTAATTCTAGTTGACAACGTTTCAAACACCCGAGGAGGATGTTGTCATGTTGAATTAAAGAAGAATTGAGAACGAGATAGCCATGTGCTTTTTTTAAGAACAAATGTTTCACTCACAATTTTTTGAGGTTTGACTAATGCACCCCCCCCCCATGTCAGACACATTCGATTGTCAAACAGATACCTGACTTGGAGAACCTCTGGATAGGACACACGAACTGAACTGTTCAAATAAAAGTCAATAAAAGCCAGGAGTTTTATTGCTATCATACAAACAAAACAGCCCTCTACAAAAATGTTACAGTAAATTTAAAAGCGGTGCTTACTTAAAATGAGACCATAACAGTGGCATTGCATTTTTTTAATCTGTTTACTGTCAATCACATATACTTTGCATTACACCTAAACAGTTGAAGAAAATCAAATCAAAACCACAGTGAGTTGTTTTAGGAAATTAAAGGTCTGTTCCAGGCAGCAATGTGTTTGTATTCATTTCTTTACAAAATCTGTTACCACACTCTTGGAAACCTGCATGTGTTGTGTAACCATCACACATTGTTTAACAAATTACAAACATTATCATTATTGGGTAATCTAGTGCAGATCTTTCAAATCAATCTGCACTTCAACTGAATTACCACACAATAATAAACTTTGAAAAACTTAATTGACACTTGATGTTCCCTTTGATGCATTACAAAACTCAACCGAGCCTCCAGTACCCACCTGGAACAGCAGGAAAACACATCCAAACATCTAAAACTGTACAGCATGCATTCAAAAACAGTCAGCAACAATGCATTGTTGCAAACACAGTCTCTTTAGATTAATGTGTTTTTGGTGCGTTTTCCATGCACAGAACAAATAAGCTGCTGATATCACAAACAGTTTTTAAGGAAAAAAGCCAAATGCCACCCGCTACTGCTGTTTTTTTTGGTTTTATTTCTTAGTGGAGATGTAAGTGAGGCTGTTGAATTGTTATTTTGCCAGATAACTGCCACAAAAGTCATGTTATGTGGAGCCGAGCATTGTTAGCCCTGGGTGCAGACATACTAACCTTGGCTGTTGTTTTGTTGCTCTGCAGGGCAGTAATGTGGTGGAGGACCAGGACCTGCTGGAGATTGGGATCCTCAACTCGGCCCACAGACAACGTCTCCTGCAGGCCATACGGCTGCTGCCAAGGGTCAGTAGCGCGGCACATCAAACAAGAACAATTAAGACAGCTCATAAAAGACATGAAGTGCATCTGAGCTTTCTAATCTGAGTTTATTGTAGGGCCACTGTCACGCAATTTCCATAAATTCAAGGTCAATTTCATATGTAAAAATTCAACTCAATTCATTGAAATTCCATTTTGAGAAAAAGAGCTCATCTTCACTTTTAGCTCCAGCCAGTCAGTTTTGTTTTGTACAAAATTCAGCAAATCTGCTCCATCTGTATTTCTCTGTAATATAACTCTCTGTGGGTGATTGGGTTTCACCCTGCATCTTATGCTGAATACTTGAAAACCCCTACAGAGAGTAGGGGCTTTCAGGAAAAGATGCACAAAGCTAAATTACTATAGATCACATCCTCTGAAGTACATGAAATTAAATGACACAAGAGACTGCTACATTCACACCAAATAATAATATAATTCACACACAAATACACAAATATACCTGTAGACACACTTTGAACTCTCATGTTGCAGACAACTCAGCTTAATTCATCAGTAAAAATAACTTGAAAAGGTCTAGAATAATATAAAGAACAGAGTCATAGTAAACTTTGTGCAGGCTTCTGCTGCATGTTTGGAAGGTCAAATGCCTTTTTTATGTGTGTGTGTGTGTGTGTGTGTGTGTGTGTGTGTGTGTGTGTGTGTGTGTGTGTGTGTGTGTGTGTGTGTGTGTGTGTGTGTGTGTGTAAAAGAGACTGAAAGTGAGATCAAAGGTGTGTGACTGTAAGGAGTAAGAGCAGAAAAAGGAGTCTGCAAAAGAGAGGACACACAGAAAAGAGAGACTCTGAGCTCAGAGATAAGCAGGTTTCATACAGACACTCAGAAAACTTTGATCTCCAGTCAGCACTTTCCTCCTCCTATACCAACTAAACTTTTCAAAACACTGTAAAAAATTAAACCTTTAACTTTTGTGTCTGCCCTCATACACACAGGCACAGACATATGTAGGCAAACACGCTCAACTTAAGGTGAAGGATGTGGGTGCTTGTTTGAAGCATAAACTGTCTGAAGCTGTTTTGACTGTCCAAATAAAAGTGAATGAATTATGAACTGCTTCACACATGCTTTGCTTCACACATAAGGTATCTCACTCTAAGCAATAACCCCCTGCTGCTGTGTCTTGTTCTGCCCTTCTCTGAAGTTAGGCTTGTGTTTACTTGTTTGCTCTGTGAAAATTGTAACCCAGGTTGAAGTCATATTTTTTTTCATGATCCCATGTAGAAATGAGGCAGAAAGAAATTAGATGCTAACTCAGTATTCACACTAATGAAAAAGGTTCAGTGCAGCAATCAAGTACAATGTAAATAGAATTTAAACAGCTGTCATGTTATGTAAGAAATAGGTAATGAGGCTGTATTGTATTTTGCATTTGTACAGAGTGTACCTTTAGATAGCAGCTGTTCAATGCTACAGAGCTCCAGGTCAAAGTTACTGCCCCACATGTGCAGAAAAATAGCAGAACACATCCAGTGTTTCCTTCACAGTATCACAACATTTATGAGAACAAGGAGAACAAATAAATACCACGAAACCTCCTAAGAAGTGAAAATGGACAGGCTGAAATAGACAGTCCATGATATTTTTCAGAGTCTTGTAAAGAACTGCAAAAAAGTAATAAAAAGATTAAAAAATACAGAACTTGAAAGACCACTCTTTCCCCTAACCTCTCTGTCTGTCCTCTCTGTACTGAAGGTGCGGCCCATCGGCTACGATGGCAACAACCCCACGTCAGTGGCAGAGTGGCTGGAGTCGTTGGAGCTCGGTGACTACACCAAGTCTTTCCTCATTAACGGCTACACCTCCATGGAGCTTGTCAAGAAGATCTGGGAGATCGAGCTCATCAATGTGAGTTTCAAAACTTTTTTTTGTGTTACCTCATTCTTCCCACATGCACTGCTGAAAAAAAGGATAAGGCTGGTGATATATATTTTTTTCTTAAGACTTAAGTATTCCCCGTTTAGCCAGAACCTTATTCAGCTTGTCTGTGACATTTTGTACAAAAACTTAAAAAGACGCAGTTGCACTGAGTGACGTGTTCCTTCATAACAATGAACATAAGCATTGTAGTTTATTTTTGAATCGATCCCACATACACTGTCCCGCTGCCAGAAATACTTCTTACAGCACAGTATGTCTATTAATCCATGGCTGAAAACGGTCTCCAACAAATGCAGTGTTCACTCTTGTAACATTTGCTAAAAAATACAGTGCCTGCTTATTTGAGGAATTTACTGAGCCATTTTTAAAAATGAAACTATATCTTTGTGACCTGTTTTTAAAGATTTTTTACAACATTGGAAGGACAAATGAGAAGGCTGGGGAAGTAGGAAAGTTTGGAGGGACTTAACAATACATTGTTGGTTTTGATGTTTTCACAGAGTTTGTTGACATTAAGAAAAAAATAGATTAAAGCCAGCTTTATCCTTTTAACATCTTATTAAAACAAGATTTCACTTGTCTGAACCAAGTGATGCTTCTCCAATTCAGAGACATATATTTCCTCCACCTTTAGGCAGAGAGAAACAAATTTGTATCTTAAATGATGGGTTATAGCAAATCATTTCCTTTGTAATAAAGGACAGCGTTGTCACTGCAGGGGCTTTGTGGGGCTTGCTGGTTTGTGTCCTCATCTTTCACCTCTGTGAAAGAGGTAGAGAAGAACACAATTTGTATCTCCTACGCAGTAAATTACACTTCAGACCAATGCAGCAGTATATGCACAGGCTTAGTCCTTTGGCTTTTCATCTAAAACAAGGCTGAAGTTGATGTGAAAGTTCCCTCTGTGGGAAGCATGCTGAGGCCATAGTGTGCAGAATGCCCATCAGGCATTTCTTCTCATTACTGTGCAATGCGTGCTGAGAATACAAACAGGAAGGAGGTGCATTTTTGCTGTTAAATCATAACCCTACTGCATAATTTTTCTTGTTTTTTTCTGTATTTTTTTACTTCTTGTCATAACAGTTCCTCATCTTGCTGTATTTGTATTTGGTTAGAAATTTGCAAGAATAAAGAGCAAGTAGTTTGCAGGTGCTTTCCATTGATTGAAGCTCTCTTCTAAATATCAATAATAGTGGATGATGACAAGGTTTGGCATTTGAGCTCCTTTGTTGTCACAAGTAGTGCAGGTTTATGATCCAATTTTTACCAACATGAAATCTTCAGTAGAGATGGGATTTACTGCAGCCTGATCTCATCTGAGTGATGTGCTCCTTTGATGCTCGGAGTGAAACAAAATCATGCTCGATTGCAGAGGGCGCCTGTCTGGCTGATTTCAATGAGAGAGAGAGAGAGAGAGAGAGAGAGAGAGAGAGAGAAATAGAGAAATAGAGAGAAAAGGGGTGGTTTTCCTTCCCAGTGGAGGATGAAGTGATAAAGTGATGAGTGATCAGCTGGAGGAGGTGGAGAGGGAGTTATATAAGCATGTGGGATGCAAGATGTTTCACAGCGCTGGGGATACCACCCACATGCTGTGCTTGTGTATGTATGTGTGTGTGTGCGTGAATATGTGTTTCTGGGTCCATATGTGAGATAGAAAAGTGTTAATACATGCCTGTGTGTTTATGTATGTGTTTAAATGTTTGACTTTTCAAACACAAGCCATTGTGTATATCTCTTCTCCTTTTTATGCAATATAATATATTTATATATCTCTCTCTATATATATATATANATATGTGAGATAGAAAAGTGTTAATACATGCCTGTGTGTTTATGTATGTGTTTAAATGTTTGACTTTTCAAACACAAGCCATTGTGTATATCTCTTCTCCTTTTTATGCAATATAATATATTTATATATCTCTCTCTATATATATATATA